ACACACACACACACACACACACACACTCATGAAACTAGACAATGCTTTTATGTTTTCAAGCTGTTGTTTATCCTCTTTAAACTATTTGCAGGCTATTTTGATTATTTATGCTGTAATAAAAGCTCCAGGCTACTGTAACCATCTGTGAATCTAATTCTCAAAACTAATGTTGTAATCTTTAAAATAGTTGATGTTTTTATAATATCATTTTATATCCCCCACACTTTTGAGTTTCAGTGTTGCCTGAAATCTTTTAAAATCCAATTTCGCTACATTCTTTCTCGCTTTCATTAAAGAAAAAACGTTTTTGAAGAACTTTTATCACTGCAGGACTTATAAAAACTTATATGAATATCATTTCAAAATTATTTTCGGTCTGAAAAATAAATCATAATATGTTTTCATCTTTTCCTGGAAAGGCAACTGTTGATTTTGCTCATTTTTAACTCCAAAAGTAGAAACTGTGTAGTTTTTGTGAAATGAGGCTTCAGTGAAATTGAGGTCATCGAAAATCTGTGGGGCAGAAATGATGTTAATCTGTAATTGAGAACATCTGTCATAGTATTTTAGCTGATCAGATTCTGATCCTTATCCGAACTAAACAGTCTGCCATGGAGGATGGATAACATAGATGCTGCTTTCACATACCCTCCAAATGGAACCATTTTCTCTCTTTGTTGGCCCGGTTCATGTTCAAACCATTGTTGCTGGACACTTTGAAGGAAAGGAACAAAGGCTCTTCCAGTTCAAATTTCATGTTCAGTTGTTTTATGACGGTGGTGAAACTCCTCAATTGTTGCTACTTGAATCCAGGAGTTTATAAGCACAGATCTGTCGACAGAGATAATTCTTGGTGCAGGGGAGGCCACATGCAGTATTAGGCCCTGCAGACCTGGTATTAACATCTGTCCTAGAGATGTGGGCCACTTCAGGCAATGATGCAGCATTTCTGATATTCTTGTGGTCTGAACAAAACAGATGTGAGTCTTAAGTTGCCCACTAATTAATTAGCAAATATGGCCCAACTGTATCAAAACAAATATTGGCATTTTTTTGCAAACATGCAGTGTTCAAGTTAAAGTATAATCTGGATGTGAACGGAAAGTGGCCTATGTGGTAAATTGTAAATAAGGCCCAACTTTGGTTAACAGGCAGTATGCTATGGTTTTATGGCCCAGACCTGCAGATCAGCACAGAATAACTTTTTTGATCTAGCGACATCAGTAGTCAGTGGAAGTGCACTGTCATTTCCACCTTAGGGGTATTTATATTTATGTATAACCTTCAGTGGAAGGTCACGGCTCACTAACCCACCCTGATCCCTCCAAATCTACATCTCTTACACCTTTGCTTTCAGATCCAATGTGGCTAATCTCAGAGGAATTATTTCAGACAAATGAATTAATATGCACTGTAAGCATGCAGTTGATCTGAGGAAAGTCCTGCCATGAAAACTTACTTCAAACTTTCTTGCAATTAACTATTTGTTGCTACAATGTCGTCAATCTTGCCATTTTTTTATATTGATCTGTTTGGTAAA